GAGCATCCTTTCTTGCTGTGAATTTGCTGCAATGCCCAGTGTGGTATCATAATGAATCATTTGTTTATATATGCATAACAGTTATTATTCGTACATTCGTACATTCGTATCAGTCTGAACCAGCGGGCCTGCTGTAGCGCAGACCCAACAGCGGTATTGAGACTGTTCCAGAAGTCGAGATAAATGTAAGAATTTAGAAGAAGAGAGGTCTGTAAGTTAGGTAGACGTAAAAAAGTTGCACCTGTAACATGTGACACAAGGTTCAGTAAATAAGAAGCAACTTTATTCCCGTGTGTGGATCATTGATTCCTGCTTTTGTGTTTTTGAAGGTGCAGCACCCAGTCCTGGAGAGAAGGTGGTATTGTGTTAACACCTGGATGCTCCACAGCAAACTGACAAAATCTGCTGTTAAAGAGGTGCACACACTTACTGATGACCAACCAATGAACTAAATCTGATTAGATTTGATTAGTATTTGGCTGCTCATTGCCCTCCTAATTCCTGTGGAAGCAGTGAGGACTTGTTGTTCTAATGACTACAGAGAGTCCTTACTGACCTCCTCCTCCTCTCTCCTCTTCAGCACCTCCACAATCCGTCCGAACTCCTCTTCTCTTTGTATGGCCTCGGCATCTTGAGTCTCTTCTTGCTCCGCTCGTGTCATGACAACCACCGCCACAATGAGACTGAGCAGGAAGAAACAACCCGGGAAGAAGACGAACAGAAAGACGATCAGATAGGATTTTCCTGCAGCTCGCAACGTCTGCAAAGGGACAGACAGGTGAGAGACACAGATGAGACAACCGGAGTAGTGGGAGGAGCCTGCATGTGGTCATCAGTGAGTTACTGACCAACTGCATCAGGCCTTCCCAGTAATCATTCATCATGAGTCTGAAAAGTGACATCAGAGACCAGAAAAACGAGTCGTAGCTGGTGTATCCGAAGTTTGGGTTACTTCCTGCGCTCACACAGGTGAAACCATCTGGACAGCCCCTGAACACATAAAAAACAGTTTGTTTTTATTGTTGTTGTTGTCAGTGAATGAAAGAGACTCATGTTTACTTACCCAGCGTCTGACTGGTTTCCACACACCACAGGATCAGGATGTCCAGGAATGTAGTAATACTTTGCTAGAAGGCAGACAGACATCCAAACCGTACAAACAGATCATGTTTCACCTTTCTAATTTAAGGGCAGGGGTGGCGACGATGACAGGTGCTGAAGTCTGCACTACAAAGCCAGCTGAACATTTCCAAACTTTCTAATACCAGGATCAATTCTCGCAGAGCCCCAGGTCCTGATAACATCCCTGGACGAGCACTGAGGGACTGTGCTGCAGAACTGTCGTCACGGACATGTTTAATACATCACTGAGCCAGGAAATGCTCTCAATAACAGATTACAGGTCACATTTACGCTGCAATTTTCAGCATCTACATTATTGATTTTAAATGATTGACTTTTCCTCAGAGGTTCACCTGATCTCACATGAGATCTCTTTCCACTGCTTTCATTGTAATGTTGGAAGAAGACCTGCGAGTCTATCTAACGGTCTTAAAAGGCTAACCTGCCAATCAGGATGTGGTACGACCATCATACCTGGAGAGGTGATGTGGTTGTGGAAATCGAATTCTGTCGTGTTTGTGTTCATCCACCACATGACACATTTGTTCTTCAGGGTTCCCATGAAGAACTGTAAACCAATCATAGCCAAGATGCTCAGGCAGAACAACGTCAGGATGATGACACAATCAAGCCTCTTCAC